CTCCATGGTCCTGATCCCCAAGTCATCACATCTGCAGTCTATACCCAAAGGTCCCTTCCTTCTAGGTTCTGGTCCTTATTAAACAGCATTCACTCACACCAGCAACCTTTTTGTTTATCTTTTATATTGAAACCCCTGGACCTATGAAGTTCATGGTTAAGATGCTGCATCAGAGTTAGGTTCCTCAGTGGAACTCATGCCTGACCAACCTGACCACTTCCTGCTCTCCCCTCAGCAGCCTTCCACACTGACTCCAAAGCAGCTCTCAAAAATGCACATCACTGCCATGTTTCAGCCCTTTAAAGACTCACATCACCAGTGGTGAGATGCCTCTACCATTCTTCCATGTGGCTGGGTCACCTTCTGCCTGGCTCCTGAATCTTTCTGCCACTCTATATCCTCTACCTCCTCCCTGTTTCTAACGTACAACATCACTTACTTGAGTTTCCATCATTAAACCCACGTAGGTTACTCCCTGTGATGGCCTTCTGTGCTTTGTCACGTTAGGCTCACTCAAATGTCCCATTCTCCAAGAAGTGCTTTGATGACCCCTTCCAGGGTAGCCATATTCTGACTAGAGTAGAATCAAAATGTTCCCTAAGAGCTGTCAGTCACAAAGAAAACCACGAACCTGACCCCCTTCCTCAGGGGCAATAGAGTGGTAACAAAGGCCATTGCTGATGAAACTGGTCTTCTCCCAGTTTGGCTATAATCACATCTATAGACATTCAGACATAAATTCTCTGATTATAAAAGGTATGTATGGTTCTCTCACCTTTGAATTCTCAGTCTTCAATACAATTAGACATTAATCTTTACTGTGTACCTGGTAAAATGGAAAGGTGGGTGACATCTTTATCACTCCGGGTGAGGAAGAACAAGACCATAGAGTGAAGAGTAAGTACACCTACAGTCCAAGTGAACGGGCTTTCTGCACCAACCCAACTTGTGCCTCTAGCAGCCCATGCCTAAGTAAACAATGCAAGCAAGCTGATTGGAATGCCGTTTGCTGATGATGGTAGAGCAGAAAAATACAGCCAGTTCCTTCCAACTGTTTTTGATATACACACAAGGTATTTTTACTCTTGATAAAAATTTCAGTGGGCTACAATGCAGCCACATGGAATGGATTTTGTTTTTTGTCAACTGAGGAGAAACTTGGCTACTTCAGCACAATCTAAAACGTGTCTAGAAGATAAATCGGTGTCTTAGTAGTTTTCTGGGAAACTGTAGGCAAAAGCTTAGTGGAGACTAAAATATCCAAATCTAGATCGGTGGGAAATTTTATATATTAGGAAATTAGGTTCCCACCCAACACTGTGTCTTCCAACTGAGTGGCTGAGAACAGAGTTTCTGAGGGCAGAGATCCTAGCCTCTCTGGGAAATTCCAGTTCAGGCACATGACAGGAAGCACAGAAAGTTGTTGTGTTTCTAGTCTTCCTTATTTCTGGGCCACTCTGGGGTCTGTGTGCCTGTGCGATGCTTTGTTGAGGTCTCGTTGCCAGATGTGTTGCTGCCAGAAATGGAATTCACTCCACGGCTCTTGTCTGGAGCCTAGGGATAAGAGAACTAGACAGGGCTCCTGAAGGTGCTTCTCTCTCTCTCTCTCTCTCTCTCTCTGGGGAGTGTGTGGTTAGGGGGTGTTTGTTCCAATATCCCCAGCTGGGTCTCATCTAGAAATTCTGTTGCTATATGCCATAGTCCAGTACAGACTACACTATGGGAAGGTCAGCTTCAGAAATGCAGAGCCCATACAGATCCTTTCTTTCAGAACCATAGATGCTTCTTTATTGCCAGACATAGTGCTACCAGAAATGGGATCCACTACACAGCTCTTGTCTGGAGCCTGGGGATGAAAGGACTAGTCAGGGCTCCTCAGGGAGCTGTTGTTTTGATTCAGCTCATGTTTTCTCCCACCTTTCCTGAGTGGGGATGTGGGATCCTGGCACAGCCAGGAGTTCCAGCCTCAAAGGGTGAACCCTTACCTGCCGACATCCCCAGCAGACGTGCAGACACTGTCCATGCTGCTTTCATTAGAGCCCACAGGTCATGCTGACAAAACCTCGGGCCAACACAACTGGGTTCTTTGGGAAAGATCCCAATAAGTATGTTTGAAATTCAGTTTACAGACACAGCTAGTGTCTCTGGGTACACGGCAGAAGAAGTTTGCCTGTTGAAACAAAGTGTTGATCAAACTTCTCAATATCATCATACTTCACCTAGGACAAATTAAACCCAAAAGGCATTACCATCTGGGTGAGGTTGACGGCTCCGAGCATCTGAGCAGAAATGACACTAAATACAGGCACCATCCCACGTATACACAAGGGCACTCTTTTTTTAAAAAAATAATTTTTATTTTTTATATTAATTACAGGTTATTTGCTTTGTATCCCAGCCGTAGGCCCCTCCTTCATTCCCTCTCAATCCCACCCTCCTTCCTTCATCTCTTCCCTTCCCCTCTCTAAGTCCACTGATAGGGGAGGTCCTCTTCCCCTTCCATCTGACCCTAGTTTGTCAGGTCTCATCAGGACTGGACTGGCTGCATTGTCCTCCTCTGTGGCCTAGCAAGGGTACTCCTCCCTTGGGGGGGGAGGTCAAAGAGCCCACCACTGAGTTCATGTCTGAGACAGTCCCTGTTCCCCTTACTAGGGTACTCCCTTGGATGCTGAGCCACCATGGGCTACAGCTGAGCAAGGCTTCTAGGTTATCTTCATGCATAGTCCTTATTTGGAGAATCAGTTTCATAAAAGACCCCTGTGCCCAGATAAATTTGGTCCCATCCTCCCCAGGTCTTACTAACTCCCCCTTCTTTCATATGATTCCCTGAACTCTGACAAGGGCACTCTCACAAAGAGGCAAGGTACTTTCCCAGTGGAGCAATGAAGTCTGTGTATTCCGAGGTTACGATGGTGAATGTTTGCTGTGTTACCTACAAATAGGACCACACTGGTAAATTCAGTCATTTAACCACATGTTGAAAAGGGCAGACCCCATAAATCCTTATATGTTGCATGGTCGCCAGTATTTTCAATGTGCTGGAGATGTTTGGGACTAGAAGACGGAAAAATTAGGAGTTTAGCCTGGTACAGATAAGCTGAAAAAATTTAAATAAATCACTCAAATTCTCTGGGCCTCCTGCTTTCTAACCCACGTGCAGAAGATTGTGTGCACTGTAAAACCCCTGTTCACTTTAGCATTGACCTTCTGCCCTTTGTGCTCTGTGGTCTGTATCCATAAATGCTCACATCACGGCAGAGTAAAGTTTCTGTTCCAGGCAGTGGGAGAGCAGTGTGGCAGAGTTTACACTCTATCCATCTCTAAGACAGCTCCGTGAGAGTGAGGGCTGTGACTTTACTGTGTATTTTGAATGTCCAGCACGTGTTTTAAAAGTCTGAAGAAATTAGCACATGGGGGAATAATTTCTAGTTAGAGTGATGCTGAGACATATTGGCCAGCCTTTTCCTGGGTCCTCTTAGGAAAGAGATGTTGCCATGAGACTGGTGTCCCCCGACTGAGTGTGAACTCAAGGGACATGTGTGCTTCTCCTGATGAGGGTGTTTTCCTTCTCAATGCCACTGAGAAGGATGTACTCAAGATGGCAGAGTTCACAATTGTCTGCAGAGCAGAACTTCATTTCCCATTTGCATCAAATTTTTGAGAATGAAAACTGAAGTTCTGTAACCTGAATCCATGGGGACTGATTACGAAAGTTGCCTTTAATTAGTACACAGAGAGCAATGAGCAAAAGCCAAAGCAAGGCAAGTGTGCCAGAGAAGACTGGGGACAGTTCTATGGCAGCACAAGCCTGGCGAAGCACGTCCAAGAGGAGTAGCTGGAACTTGATGCGCTTTGGAAAAGTTAAATGTATTCCTAATGTTACATAAAAACAGCACATCTGTGGGGTATGCTGCAATGTTCTGAGGTCTGTCTGCATATTATTTATTGCATAATTTTAAAATCGCGTTAAAATATCATTCTAAACATTTATCACTTCTTCATGATGAAAAACATGCAAAATCTTCCCCATAGTTGTTTTTATTTCATTTTACTTTTTTAATGAGCTGCATAGTTGCTGTCTACAGCCACCCTACTGGGTGACAGCACATTAGCCGTTGTGGTGTGGAAAACAACCCAGAATTCTGACGCTCACACTCACAATCTCTGTGTTAGTGACAAGAGAACTGAGCTGAGAAAACCTCAACATCATTCTCCCTAGAAACGAAATGAATCAGTAGCATCACTCACATTTGACCGTGGTTAGCTCCAAAGCTTGTCTTTTTCTCTCCCACACAGCCATGCCTGGCTTCAAGCCCATTGCAGTATAGTAGAAGGAGTAACCTTTCTCCTGGTACACTGGCCTCTGTTGGCCCCTGGGGAGTGCCCTCACACTGGAGGGCAGGACACTGGAGGAGAGGGCTTTGCTGGCTGGGTGGGGGCGGACTCCTGGGGTCTCACAGATTATTCTGCTGCAGCAGAAGGCAGGAGTGGACTCAAGGGCAGCAGGACTCAAAGTCACACCCTGGGCACCTGTGGCCTGCTGGGGCCTTGAACACAGAACACCGAGTGACAATAGTACCTTCCTTGGCGACGGAGAACAAGTTGGTCATTCTCTTTTCTTTTCCACAGAAAGGCCAGGGTAGGTGGAAAGGGAAGTGAAGGCCCTCTGGGAGTCCACAGATGGGTGGGGGGGTCTTCCTTGTGAGGCAGAAGCTTGGAGCCCTGCTTGTAAGCATACAGTTACATAACAGCTGAAAGATGGATGTGAGTCACGGTTGTCACAGGCGGAGGAACACACACCTAAATATAATTTACAAGTGGCTCTTCTCAGTGGTATTGTGCAACCAAATTAGAAGAAAAAAAAAAAAAAGAACGACAGAACGCCCACTTGGAAGCACAGCATATGAGCTCTGCTGATGGTCACAAACATGAAAGTTTGCTCTGGGCAGCAGAACTGGCTGAGGCGAATCAGACAGAAACTGGAATCAGTTCTAAGAGAACTGGTCTTGTCCTCCGCCTTAGATGACAACCTGATGAAAGTCGGAATCCGGCTTCAGACTTCAGAAGGTCAGCCTTCCCACGTCACTGGCTGTGAGGGTACAGAAACGCCCTCCACCCGCAGCAGGAGAACCCTGAGTAGCCGCGAGACCAGGAGAGCCTCGAAGTCGGGGCGCGGGGAGGGCCGGCGCGGGCTTGCACTGGAGGGGCAGAGATCAGGCATTACGGAATGATGGAGTTCTGGGATCAGGCGCAGCTGGGCCGCTCCCTAGGCAGGCTCCTGGAGCGCCACCCTGCCGAGTTTATTTTGGTCGTCTGTTTTGAATTTGCAGTGCTCCCTCTGTAGGAGGGTATTTTGAGGTGCTCTGGCAAGCCGCAAGGGCTCCAAGTAGCTTTTGTTTCTGTACTCACACAGATGAGGAGCTGAACTAATTGAGAGAGTGACCCAAATTTGTGAGTTTCACAAAGTATCCCATTTGGCCTGGATTCCTGTAGCTTTGGAATGCGCCTGCATGCTCGTCCATTTGGAAGTCTTTTCTGGAGCCCTTTGGAAAACATCCCCAGCCACACAGAAACCAGCAGATAAGTGGTGAGTTCCTTTCTTGAATAGTCTGCAAAGAGGTTCAGGCAGGAAGTCTTCTACAGGCCAGGGGCTTTTGTTCATATAAACACAGCTTGGCAAAACAATTACTGTTTTCTTCTTTGTTCAATAACAAGGCAGTTCAGCCTTGCTCCGAAATCTCCCTTCAATTGAAATAGTTTGGATGTCCTAGGGTTGATCTAACCAAGGTTATGAGGGAAGAGATTCGCTTTGCAACCTTGAAACATTTTCTGTTTTTAACTCCTCCAGGGATAGTTCTCTAGCCAAGAGCACGGTCAGAATTTAGGGAAGAAACTGAGGGAAAAATTCCCTTTGTCCTCCTGCCTGGCTCTTTTACTGTCCTCACATGTAGAGAGAAAGAATGGGGAGGAGGCCTTTAAGTAACAGGCAGGGCTTCGGGCGCTACCCGGGGCCCGTGAGTACTCAAGTCACCTCTATTTTCCATTTGGTTTCTAGGCTCATTCTTTCTCTCTTTTTCTTTTTCCTCTTTTCAACTTTCAATCTTCTTTTTGATTAATGGACATGACAGAAAGCTTTTTATCCTCTCTTTGGGAAATCTGTTTATCATAAAGAGATGTTTCTGAAAAGAAAAAGAAAACCAAGTCGCTGAGCTCCATAAGCCCAGAAGACTACTAGGAGAGCTGGGAAGGCACCTGGGCAGAGGCAGAGGCGCAGCTGGGAGTCAGCCTGAAGGCTTTGGACAATCACCAGTTTGCCTCCAGCTAGGAACTGCCCAGAGCTACAGCCTGGGGCTTTTCTCTAGGTTAGCTCAGTGGTTGCATCCGAAGGCTACCACCAGCTTCTCTGTGGCTTTTTCTAAGATGCTACTGCAAATGTACCTGAGACTAAAGGGTAGACTAAAGTCAGAATAAAAGGGACAGCAGGAGAGAGAAGTGAGATGAAGAAGGAAGGGAGGAAGGAAGGGGGGACGAAAAAAGAGAAGAGGACAAGAGAAAGAATGTACTTTCTAGAACCCACTACTGAAACTGAAGAATCCCGCCAGAACATTGACATCTGTGAGGAGCTACTACAAGTGCCCAGGACATCAGGGTCAGTTCTGATGTAGACTGTCCCCTTGGAAGCTTAAATACTTACTACTTCCTACCCACAGTGCCTCTGGGCTAGGCGGTCAGCGCAAGAGCAAGGGCCCTGGTGCTGCTCGAGGCCCCTCAGGCCACTGCAGGCATTCAGAAATCAGAAGTACTGCTGGAGCTCTGGGAAGGTTCTTACTGCCCTCTCCCCTCCCTCCTCCCCCTCCCCTCCCCCACTGTTCCCTTCCTACTTTCCTCTCCCAGTTCCCAGATAGTGGTTGACTTGGTCTCTCTCCTCCATAAATATTATAGTAGGGGTGGATCTTAGGGCTCCAATTATGAATTATTTCTAAGAAAAAATGTGGCGTTGAAGCAGCAGCAGCAGAGTCCCCTGTGACTCATGTAGATCGCAGACTCTTGGACCCCGCTTAGGCCATTTGCTGGGCCTGTCTTAACTCGTTATTGTTTTTTTAATTAAAAATTTACACATTTGGGGTGGGGCCTCAATATGTAGCTTTGGCTGGCCTGAAACTTGCTATGTTGACCAGACTGGCCTCAAATTCACAGAAATTCTCCTGCCTCTGCCTCCTGGGTGCTGAGATTAAAAGCACATGGCACTACACCTAGCTTTTAAAAAGTGAAATGGGATCAGATCACTTTCTTTTTACTTTCCTCCCTCCAGCCCCTCCCATGCTTTCCTTCTTAAATTAAGATTTGCTTTTATTGTTGTTTCATTTGTGTGCTCGCACACACGCACTGAGTCTGGTTCTTGTTTGCGTGTACAGGGCTTCAGGGCTGACTTCTTCGTATTGGTTAAGCAGTGGTGGGGGTTCCTTTTTGTTTTTGGAAATAGAGGTAATTTAAAAATATCCCAGATGATGACTTAAGTCAGTACTTTTTATAGTTTCTTGAGCATATTCATTTTCAGACAGGTCTGGGTGGAGAGCTGAGATGACACATTCTTAGTAAGCTCCCAAAGAGATGTCACCTTGGCTAGCAGGTCTCTGGGGTTCCTACAGCTATAATACTTTCAAAGCTGTGAATTTAGTCAAATTCATTGTCTCCTTGAATATGGCACTGTGTGTTAAACTTTGCCAGTCTCTCTTCCTGTCTTCCCACATCAAAGGCTGCTTATTCTTCAGGGCCATGTGTGATATTACCTCCTACATGTACTGGTATCCCCAGTCAGAACACGCCTCTGTTTCTATGATTACTTATGTTACTTCCTATAGAAGAATTTTTAATCCAGCAACATGGCTGCTCTGGCAAGGGATCACATCCAAAGATCTAAGTCTATGTGATTTGGCCAGAATGCAGACATGCCCTCAGTACACACCTCTAATCGCAAGTGATTGAGAGACAGACAAAATGATAAATCAGAGAAAGATTTGACAGGATAGGATATGCCCAACTCTTACAAGAACAGCACGGGAAAGAAAAGCTACTTAAGAGGAGTGAAGGGAGAGAGTTTAGAGAGTTGGGAGTTAGGTGAGAGGCATTGAAGTTGAATTCATGGCAATTCAGCTGGTGGCAGTTAAGTTCATGTAGTTCAGAGACAGTTTTACCAGGACAATTTAACAGAGACAAGTTGAAGAGAGAACAAGCTGGATGCAGGTGAAGACAGAATGAGACAGAGAATGAGAAGGAGTCAGAAGATTCGAGCACATTGCCAAAGTTAGCACAAGGCCAAGCAGAGCAATTCAGTCAGAAGCTGAGAGAAGTCAGTTTGAATCAGTCAGCTTGAAGAGCAGTTTGAGCCAGAACAGTGGAGCTGAACCAGCCAGCCAGAGTTCAGAAAGAGCTAGAAAGGGTGGGCTAATTAGCAGTAAGTCTCAGAAACTGAAAACATTCTAGGCCTAGATAAGATTGTACCAATGCTAGAAGCTTCCAGGACTTGGCCTAGGTTAGAAGACAGAGGCAGTAAGCCCCTGAGACAACAATTACATCAGGAGAATAAGAGTTACTTTTACAGCTTCCTCACAGGACCTGTATATATTTCTCCTTTTAAAGAATATACCATTACCTCGTTATCTCTAGATAATGAAAGAACCTTATGGGAATGATTAACAGTGTGACATTTTTATGTATAAGTGAAAGTGGAGAGAAAGGAGGAGGAGGACGTGGGAGGAACAGAGTCTGTGGGAAATGGTACTTTGTGTGTGTGACATGAAGTACACACACAGATGCTCTTTGCCAAGGGCAGAGGATCCTGGTTGTACCGGTCAGAAGCAGATGCTGCAGGGAGTAAGGAAGCCCTGTGGTTTACCCTCTCTTTCTCCTTGACCGTCAGCATCTGACCTCCCTATGTCCTTTTGCTCCTCAGTCTCGGATTTGACGGTGACGTCTGTCCCCACTCTCCTGCCTTTACTCAGGACTGTCAATTTGCCATTCTGACAGTCAGTCCTTTTATATTAAGGAGTGACTGGTAGATATTCCCCGTCAGAGAAATGTACCTGAAAAAAATGATTAAATGAAAAATAATGATTAAATGAGGTTTCAATTGTTGTAGAATCATTTCAAAATGTGGCCCATGTATACATACTTTAAAGGAGAGTTGATTTTCTTTCCTTATTATACAGACCTTTTTCTCCAGCCAAGAATATGAATGACCATTGCTTCTGCAAGAAAGGAGACTCTTGGTCTGACCCAGGACTCCATAATAGTGGAGGACTTAAAACTGTGGCTTTGGTTCTGATTCTATTTGGCTCGCTTAACAATTGAAACTAAAAATGAAAATTGAGGGCCAGAGAGGCTGGGATCAAAGTCAACATGATATAAGAACAAAGAAGCTGGAAACAGAACCAGAAATGCTTAGGCCCAACATGGAGAGTAGATCTCTGTTCCACAAGAGAGAGTTGAAATGGAGTGATGGAGTCAACGGTACCACGCAAGGGAGTTGTCATGGAAACCGTTATCTGAGAGCAGGCAATTGGATTTTGGGAACTGATTAAAGCAAGTCTTGATGGTAAAAAAGAGGTAAAAAAAAAAAAAAAAAGATGAAGTCAGACAGTGAAGATGGAGTGGGGTTCCGTGCCCATTGTGGAGACGAGAGGACACATCACTATTACAAGACAAAACACGACAGACTTGAGAGGCCGATCTGTCCAGCCAGGGTGCCTAGGAGTAAACGCTCCCGAATTTGCCTTTTGTGGCATCATAGCACTCATGGCTCAGCCTGCAGGACAATGTGATAGGTGGGCGGACTCTCTTCAGAACTATTTCCAAGGAGGACAGGTAGTGTGTCCATATCTTTTTTTTAGCAGAAATTATTTCCACTTAAATATTGAGAGGAGAGGCCAGTAAAAAGCAAACATTGTTGCTGTGCTATTTTGGTTTGATTTCTGTGGTCCACTTTGAATGTGGACACGGGGGCTGTGCGGGCTCCATAATGGCCGATTTCCCTGCTCTGTGCCTGAAACACAGCCTGGCATTAAGTGATTACATGGACTTGTAACACTGTTGCACATAGTGCCGGGATCTGCTTCCCGTCACTCACCTCTTAAAGAAGGGTCTGTGCTCTGGGAGGTGCACGTGGCTATGAAAGTTTTCCAAAGAGGAAGAGCAGAGAGTGAGCCAGAGGAAAGAAAGGATTCTTTCAGCCTCGCAGAGGCGCTCTGAGGGGAAGGTGAATGGGGCATAGGTGTGAGAGGGTCAGCCTTCCTCACACACGAGGGAGAGCTTCAGCAGTAAACAAACTCTTAAGAATGCTGCGAGTGAGGAGAGAGGGAAGTGACCACAGTTCAGTGTGTCACAGGCCACGGGCGGGCAATGTCAGGAATCTGGAGGTCTGCCACTGATTGCTTTAGACCAGCGTCAGGCTTCTGGCTTACATGACGCAGCCTGTGCGCTTGTGACCTTGCCTCTCAGGGAGGGAGCCGGTACAAGGACCAGGGGTGAAGTGATAGAACGGAGAAGCGCTTCAGCAAGTTGAAATGGCATTTACTGGCTTAATGTGCT